GAACAAAAAGGTGCGACGATGGTTGGGGCGATGCTATGAAGAAAAAAGGTTGGCACGACACCAATGACAATCACGAATTCAAGACGCGGCCCAAATCCGCCGACCCTGTCGGCGTGTGCGAGGGGCTTGGCTGTTCGAGTCTTCGTCTCCGTCGGTCGTCGCCTCCGTCGTCCCCTTTCCCTGCAGCTTCCTTCTCAAGCTCGTGAGCGAGAGAAAAATCTAGCAGTGTCGTAATCGAGTCGAAGGGAAGCCCCTTCCCTTCGATCCCTTCCCCAGGGGGGGGGGTCCCGGGGGGGGTCCCGGGGGGGGTCCCGGGGGGGGGTGGTGGGGGGGGTGGGGGGGCAGATTCGTTTTCCCTCGGGCGGCCTAGAAACCTCGAAAACACTCCAAATGAGGTCCGAATGCCCAAGATGGCCCCCGAGACGGCCCAAGAGGGCCCCGAGTCGCCCAAAGATCTGCCGCAAACGCCCAAGACAGCCCCAAGACCGTCCAAGAAGCCTCCAAGACGTCCCAGGCCCCCTCCAAGAGACCCCCAGGAAGCCCCAAGAGGCCCCCACGAGGCTTCCAAGCGGCCCCTAAGACCTTCCCAAGAGGCCCACAAACTACCCCCAAGAGGCCCCCAAGAGCGCTCGTCGTCGTCGTCGTCGTCGTCGTCGTCGTCGTCGTCGTCGTCGCCATTCAGGGTCGGCGGCACCGGCCGTAAGGCCTTCGCAAAATATAGAAAACCGAATGATGCTTCATCGCTGCCAAGCAGAATTACCACCATTGTTACTCCGGCTACTGCCGTGCATGCCCAAGGAGGATTTCAATAGGTTATCTGAGAAACTGTTGGGAAACACCAAAGCGTTCGAACACATAAATGTTTGGGCAGGCGGGGGGTGGCGGAAGCTGATCCGAAAGGAGTGGGCGAGGCCTCTGATATGAAGGAGAATGGGCAGAGCCCCTTTTTATGTTTTTTGTTCTCTCTCTCTCTCTCTTTTTCTTCATGTTTCTTTTATCGGCCATCGGCTTTTGTAAGGTTGGTCCTAAAATCCCAAAGCCTGGGCTACACTCCCTCTCGGTCTCATGGTTCGCCGCCCTACAACTAACCAGCTACCCCCCTTCTACCAGGCCCTACCTCTTCAGCGAGGTACCCACCACTTATGGGGGGAACGCGCTGCGGTTTCCCAGGCCAGGGACCGCGGAGAGCAGGCGGCCGAGGGGGGGCGCGAGACATGTGGCCGAGACCGATGGGGGAGGAGTAACCCAGGGGACTCAGGGGACTACTGATTAGGCCTCTGCGAAATTTTCACGCTTGGTGTCCCAAGTTTCAGGGTGTGGAAGGTGGGCCGAGACGGTTGCCGTGCATACAAGCCCGACCGACGAAACGAGCGACCCGCCGTTCACCTTCACCAAACATCTACAGTGAACGTATATGTTTGGGCAAGCAGGGGGTGGCAGAAACCGATCGAAACCCCTGATATAGAAGAGAACAGGCAGATCCTTTTTTTTTTTTCTCTCTCTCTCTCTCTCCCTCTCTCTTTTTCTGCTTCTTTTGTCGGCCAGTGGGTTTTGCAAGGCTGGTCCCAGAATCCCAAGAACCCGGTCTACCTTCCCTCTCGGTCTCATGGTTCACCACCCTACAGCTAACCCCCTCTACCAGGCCCTACCTCTTCAGCGAGGTATCCACCACTTATAGGGGGGAACGCACTCCGGTTTCCCAGGCCAGGGACCGCGGAGAGTAGGCGGCTGAGGGGGGTGGGGCGCGAGACATGTGGCCGAGATCGATGGGGGAGGAGTAGCCCAGGGGACTATTGACTAGCTCCACCAAACTCAGAGACACCATGCTACGAGCTTCGCGCGCACTTAGGTTCTCTTACCTGGCGATCAGCCGCCTGAGTGGATAGGATACGGACGGAAAAACGAAATTGAACACTCTCCTCCCCTCTCAGGGGGGCCGTGTTTGCACGCTCGGGCGGCTGTGTTTGTACGCGCGGGGGGGCTGTGTTTGTACGAAAGTGTTGTTGTCCAAGCGGCCAAGCTCCCCGCGGCACACGGCCGAGCATACACCCTGCGAAATGCTTAAGAAATCATGGGTTAAGAAATTCATAGTCTCAGAACTCGAATAAAACCCCAACATTTCTATCAAAATCTTGGGATTCACATTGAAACGTCAAGAATAATCGAGACTCTGGCCGAAAATGTAAGTTTTCTTCAGCATCGCCTAAGGTGTAGCTCGACCGGCACACCCGCCCAAGCGGACCCTCGCGGGTCTTGGCCCCTGGAGGACACATCCCTGTCCAGTGTTTCCAACGTTGGTGCCAGTGCGCTCTGACACGTGCAGAAAAGGCTGCAACCCAGCACTGGAGATCTTCGCGCAAACGAGGTGCAAAATTCATATCGGCTAAAACTGATGTTCCATTTCGCGTATGTGTGTATGTATGTATGTATGTATGTATGTATGTATGTAGGTAGGTAGGTAGGTAGGTAGGTAGGTAGGTAGGTAGGTAGGTATATGTATATGTCTATGTATATTTATATGTACTAAGACCACGCGCGCGTAGCGCGCGCTTACGCTCCAGTCGCAGATGAGCCACGGGTGCCGCTGCAAGCCCCGCTTTGGCCAGAACGACGATGTCCAGCGTTCTCGGGCCCATGCCATCGACGCAAAGAAACGCGTAGTCAGAACGGCGGGCGCCGCGTCCCCGCGTATCTCCCAACCTCGCTGCCGCATTTGTTTGGTTTATCGGACAGCGCTTGTTTCTCCACTTTCGCTTCCGTTCCGCCCGTCGTGACACCCTATGTGTTTGCACATTTGTTCGGTCTCCCCTTGCCCGAGCACGCAGACATCCGCAAGCTCCTGATGTTGGGGTTGGCTCGGGGCCTCGTTGCGCGCGCGTGGGAGCGCGTTGTTTTTCCTCTCCCTTGTGTTCCAAGTTTCTCGTTTTCAGCGGTCGTTCAGTTGTCGGGTATCTGTAGATGGCGCGCGCAGATGTCCTGGTCATCGGCGCCCTTCTCTACAATCAGTTGTTGTCGAGTCCGTCCACGGGAGTGGGGAGTTTCTGTGTGCTGGACGCCAAATCTCATGCCGCCGAAAATCGCACCCGTGGGAGCACAAGGTTCGGGTTCACGGGGGATGCTCAACGATTTGCCTGGCAAGCACTACGAATGGTGACGGGGCCTCTGGCGGTACCTTCTTGGTGCTCTGGCGAGGCCTTTCAGGAGGTGAGGGAGGGGCCCGAACCCTGATACATTGTATAGTATGGCCACACCCCGCTCGTTCGGGCAAGTCCGCCCTGCAAGGGTGGGAGGAGCAATAACAACGTGAAATAATATGGTATCGGGATGCCCTGCTCTCTCTGGCGGGGGGTCCCTGGCGCTCTGGACGGGCTTGCCCAAAAGGGGAGGGAAAAGCACGAAACCTTAGGACAATTATGGTATAGCCACACCCTGTGCGCTCTGACGGGGCTACCTCGGGTGCGGTGGGAGGAGCTAAGCACAACAGGGACTGTATATGGTATAGCAACACCCCTCTCGCTCTGGCGGGGCCGCCTTTGAGGGGTGAGAGGGGCAGAGCAACTGGTGAAATGATTGGGTTTCGCGATGCCCCACTCGCTCTGGCGGGGCCTGTCTGGCACTCTGGCGGGGCCGTCCTAGGAGAGGAGGAGGGAGGAAGAGGAGAGAGGAGGGAATGGACGCAAGGGGAGGGGGCGGGAGGGAAGGCGGGACGGAGGGGGGAGACCCGGGCCATCTGGGCCGTCTTGGAGCGTCCTGGGGCCTCCCGCTCCCGCTCTGTGGCCCAACTTGGGCCTGCCCTGGGGCTCTCTTGGGCCATCAGGGGCTCCTCCTGGGTAATTTTCGGGCTCCCTGGGGCCGTCTTTTTTTTTGTTGTCCATGAAAGGCGACAGAAATAGCGAGACTGGCAGAATAGTGAGAAAGTGGAAGCCGCACGTCTATACAAGTGCCGACCTTCACCCCGAACACTATGTACATATGTTGTCGAGCGTCTCGTGCTCGCGACATACGCCGAAACCATAGTGCAGAGGACCCCGCGCCAGTGCTGCACACCTCGACTGGCCTCACGGACATTAGCCCGCGGTTGGTAGCCAGCGTCATCGATGCGCGCCTCCTCTCTGGCACAAAAGCCATGCAGCATGCGAGTCTGGGCGGTTTTACAAACAACCTGCGCGCCGAGTGGTCATTCCCAGGCAAGTTTCCTCTCGACCAATACGATACGCAGAGGACACACTGTCAATTGTCAGGCACTCGTTCGTAAGGATCGCACCCCCAAAAGGCAGCAACGGGTTGAAAGGATGAAGATCAGGACACAGCAGCCTTGAAGCGCAGGGCAGGGGAACGCCAGGAATCAGGCGCGGACATGTTTGCACGCAGTGGCACGGACGGAATTCCGCGCGAGCATCCGGAGCGGAGTGGCTCACAGATCAAGAGCAAGTGGAAATGGCAGAAGTAACAAACAAAACAAGAAGGAAGAGGCTTTCGACAGACACGAGGAAAACTGAACAAAATGCGCTGTCCAGGCGCGGCCACGTTACCGCATCAGCGACATCGGAGAGAACCCGCAGCGAGCGGACAACTCTAGGATGGGCTGGGGGTCCGCCGCAAGACGCTGCAGAACGCATGACAAATGGAGGAAGGATGCGGAGGATGCGGATGGGGAAAGGTGGCCGGAGCGAGAGGCTCTGGACTAAGCCTTTGCTGCGCGCGCTCTCGCTTCCAGCCCAGGCCCCAAAGCCGGCACGCCACGGGGCGCCAACGGGGAGGGCCAGGCCGCCATGGGACTCAAATCGAACTGTTCGGCGCGCTCTCGAACGGGCAGGGTGCCAAAAACTGACCACCCCTCCTGATATTTGCACGCCCCATCGTTTATTTTACAGGCACCTCCTTCCTTGCCCGTGCCACTCTCACCAATCATCCCCACCTGCATTTCAAGGTCGGGGTTCGTGGCGATATCAGGTTTGTTAAATACCGCTGTCATCCTCACACCTTGTTCTGCTCGTCGACTACATGAGACCGATCGCCTCGGAGGCGATCGCATCCGATGAGGAGCCTTTCGACAGCGCCATTGTCTTCTTGCAACCCTCCCCTGGCGTAGCCGCGTCGACGTGATCATCTTCTCCAAATAATCCTCCGACAACGGCGCCGGCAAGTCCCAAGTGCTTGACGTAGAAATTCAAGTGCTTGATGCCCTCGTGCGTGTGGCCGTGCGCGACTTTTAGTTCCAGTGGGCCAAACTTCGTCCAGCTCGATATCTGGAACGTCCCCTCGCGCGCCTCCCTGGTGGTGAAGGTGATCCCGCCGGCACGCACCTTGTCCGCCCAAGCCCCTGTGATGTTGAGCATCTGGAAATACATGTCCGCGCAGGAACCACCAAGCTGGCGCGCGTCTGCCTCGACGGTCAGAAGCGAGTCGTCGGCAGAGCTTCCACGCGGGATCTGCACCGGCACGACCTTCCCAGGCTTCATCAAGTCGAAACGTTCTCCGTGGATGTTCATCAAATGCGGATCGCCAGTGGCAGATGCCGCAGCCGGGGTTGGCGCCGGCGTCGGCACCTGAATATTGGTGAGATCGACACCGCTAGTGTCACCGCCCATAGTGTTGTCTCCCCGTGCAACAGCCGTGCCGTCGTTCTTGCGAGCCACACACGCTTTGTGGCCACACATCGCATCCGCTACATTGGTGAGACCACTGGGAGCGATACCGCCATTACCGCTGGCTCCCCATGCAACAACCGTGCCGTCGTTGTTGCGAGCCACACACGCACCGTCCCCACACATCGCATCCACTACATTGGTGAGACCACCGGGAGCGTTACCGCCACGACCGCTCTCTCCCCATACAACAACCGTGCCGTCGTTCTTGCGAGCCACACAAGCGCTCGTGCCACACATCGCATCCACTACATTGGTGAGATCGACACCGCTAGTGTCACCGCCACAACAGTAGCGTCCCCATGCAACAACCGTACCGTCGTGTTTGCGAGCCAGACACGCCCACCCGCCACACATCGCATCCACTACATTGGTGAGACCACCGGGAGCGTTATCGCCATTACCGCTGTCTCCCCATGCAACAACCGTGCCGTCGTTCTTGCGAACCACACACGCTCTGTGGCCACACATCGCATCCACTACATTGGTGAGACCACCGGGAGCGTTACCGCCATATTGGCTCGTTCCCCATGCAACAACCGTGCCGTCGTTCCTGCGAGCAATACACACCCACATGCCACACATCGCATCCGCTACATTGGTGAGATCGACACCGCTAGTGTCACCGCCACAACAGTCGCGTCCCCATGCAACAACCGTTCCGTCGTGTTTGCGAGCCACACACGCGCTCCCGCCACACATCGCATCCGCTACATTGGTGAGACCACCGGGAGCGTTACCGCCACGACCGCTGGTTCCCCATGCAACAACCGTGCCGTCGTTCTTGCGAGCCACACACGCCTCCCAGCCACACATCGCAGACGCTACATTGGTGAGACCACCGGGAGCGTCACCGCCTTTAGAGCTGTCTCCCCATGCAACAACCGTGCCGTCGCTCTTGCGAGCCACACACGCATGCCCGCCACACATCGCAAGGTGTCCAGTCCAGTCCAGAACGTCGTCGGGCTGGGCGTCGGGCTGGGCGTCGGGCTGGGCGTCGGGTTGGGCGTCGGGGAGCCCGTCGGGCTGGGCGTCGGCGCCTGAGTGCAGGTGACTGATCCCAAAGCGATGATACCGGTATTGGTCTCGTCGAGGCCCAAGATGTCACCGTCCTGGAAAGCAACATTCTCTGTTGCCTTTTCGCCCTGCGCCAACGACCTGATGAGGTTTCCATTCAAATACAGATTAACACGTCCGTGTCCAAGGACTGGATTGCCGAAGACGACTGTAGCAGTTCCCGATCCGCTGAGCGTCGTTGTAGTAGACCATACAGGGGCGTTCGGAATCCACCCGCACCATTCATACTCATTCGAGCAAGGCCCCATTTCCGGGGCGGGGAAATTGGTCCAGGCAGATGTGCACGTGGCGGTTGCGGTAGTCACGCCGGCAGCAGCCTCAGACTCGCCGTCTCGGAGACGAAGGGCGCGCGTCGAGGGAGCGAGCACCACCACCAGGAAAGCGGCCCATGATGCCTTCTGGGATGCCGCCATCCCGACAGCTTGCCTTGGCCAAGAGAGGTAGACGAGTATGTTGCAGAGGTGGGAAACCTAGTTTCCAGGAAGCAAGTGAAGGTTGCTGGATGCTCTGTGATCCAGAACACTTGAGCCAAAATGGCTACGGAGGCTCCCTGGGGCCGTCTTGGGGCTCTGTTGGGTGACTCTTCGGCGGTCTTGGGGGCGTCTGCGGCCGTCTTCGAGCATTGGAAGCTCGAGAACGCGAGCAAGCGAAAAACATAGAACTAACCAATGCAATTCAATGAATTGGGCCTCTTTGGGCTCTCTCGTGGCGTCCTTCGGAGCTCTTTTGGCCCTCTTGGAGGCCTCTTGGGCTGTGTGTTGGCCGCCTTGGGCTCCTCTTGGGCCACGTTGGAATCATCTGGGCCGTCCTGGGACGCCTTGGGGCCTCCCGCTCCCGCTCTGGGGCCCATCTTGTGCCTGTCCTGGGACTCTCTCGGGCAGTTTTGCGCTGCTCCTGGGAAGTCATCAGGCTCTCTGGGGCCGCCTTGGGGCCTTTTTGGGGGCGTCTTCGGCGGTTTGGGGGCGATCTTCGGGGCGTCTTCGGCCGTTTGGAGCGTCGGAAGGTCGAGAACGCGAGAAAAAAAACAAAAAAAAAAAAAAAAAAAAAAAAAAAAAAAAAACAAGAATAAAAATAAAAAAAGAAAAAAACTAAAAAAAAAAAAAAAAAAAACAAAAAAAAACAACAGAAAAAAATAAAACAAAGAAAAAAAAAAAAAAAGAAAACAAAAAAAAAAGAAAAAAAAAAAAAAAAAAAAAAAAAAAAAAAAAAAAGAAACACACAGTCGAAAAACATGGAACAACTACCGACACACGGATTGTGGGCCTCTGCGTTCGGGCTTTCTCGGACGCTCTCAGAGCTCTCTTGGGGCCTCTTGGAGGCCTCTTGGGCTGTGTATTGGCCGTGTTGGGGCCATTTGGGCTGTCTTGGAGCGCACCAGACCGGCCCAGGACGGCCTACGAGGCTCTGGAGACGACCCGAGAGCGCCCTCTGATGGCCCAGGAGGCCGCTGCACGACCAGGAGCGCCTTCAAGAGGGCCCCAGGAGGGAAAACGCGCGGGGAGGCCGTGGGCCCTCGCCTGCAAGATGCAGCCCCTGCACACAACCAAAAATGCCTTCGAGAGGGCCCCGAGGGGGAAAACGCGCAGGAGCCCTGTGAGCCCTCAGCTGTAAGATGGCCCTCACGACGCCCAACATGCCCCCGTGAGGTTCGCAAGAGATGCTCTCAAAAAGCCCCCAGAGGACCCCCCAAAGCCCTGAGAAGGCTCCAAGATGCCTCCCTCAAAGCCTCGCAACAGAAGCGGATGAGGACGAAATCGGTAACAACCGCACGCAGGCAGTACGACGAGAAGCGGCAAACAACACATGCGCATGCGGAGGCCGCCCAGCTCCTCGTCTGGGGATCGGCAGACTGGCGTAAACCTCTTGAGTAAACTGCGTGCCCTTCATTCATCACGATGATCGGAAAACAACTATTCGCTGACGTGCAACACAGTATCGATCGAATCATGCGGCTGTAATCGCGAGCGCGTATGGTTTGCGACCTTCAATGCATGCACGGCCTGGTGCGAGGATCGAAGCAACAACTGAGAAGTTGCGCACGACGCAGCTCGCACAGCATGGGTTCG